GTTCCAGCTTTTGGGATCAGACCCAAATTGATGTTCCTTAGCTAGAATTTAGTTACAAAGATCAATCCTAACTGGCCTCACCAACCATGTAAAAAAGCCTGTAGGTGCCTCAGAAACATGCACAACAGCTACCTAAGCGCTTCGCCCATCTACGCTCTGTTGCAATTCAAGTCAGTGTTAGGTGGAGCTTAGGTACCTAAGTCATTGGTTCCTTGGGTGAGGCCTAATTGTGCCTACTGACTGTTTGATAATGAGCTTATGCCTGCAGCTCAATGGGCATGTCTACACAAGCAGTAATGCGCTTTTCCTGACATGCATGAAATTCATTACCTTAGGCCACTCTTCAACATGCTCCAGAGGTGCACTTTAATTAAAGCGCTGCCACGTCTCATGTATCAGCGATCCCTGGGCTGCCACATCTCATTTATCAGCTAGCCTCAGGGCTACCCCAAATAGCAGCAGGGGTGCATGAATTGAAGCTCATTTGTTTCCACTTCAATCCAAGAATGCCTGCCACCATTTTTAAGTGCGGGGGTGCAGATACACAAGACACAGGAGGCTGCTGGAATGCAGCAGGGAGTGGGGAAGGCAGCCAACTCCATCATGTGGGGCTAACCAATGGTGGTGCACAAATCCCTGGAGCTGCATGTGAGAAATAGAGGTGGGCTGGCATGGCTCTGCTCTTTGCTACCACATGCAGATCCAGGAACTGAAAGCAGCTGCACAAAGTGTGAGCACCCCGAGGGCCTGCCCCCTGCTGCTGCCACTGATGGCAGGAGCACTGTGCACCATTGGAGGGAGTTGGGGGGGGCGTCCCTACACCCCCCACCCTGCCTCACCCCACAAACCCCACCCAAAGCTCTGCACTCCTGCCCTGCTGGGCTTAGGCTTCACGCTCCTGCCAGCCCCAGCCCCACGCTCCTGCCCACCTGCAGCTCCCCTACCTGCTTCCTGGAGTGAGCACAACAGGGACACAACAAGGAGCTGCTGGAGGCTGGGGAAGCAGAGCAAGCTCCCCAGCAGCTGCGCCAGTGGCTCAGAGCAGTACTTGTACTAGCAAAATGACCTTACTGTGAGCTTCCTTGATGGAGGCATGGAAAACTTAGTGCACCTAAAACAGACAGTTGTTGAATATGGATATGGATATGAGCATAGAAACAATATTTCTTTCCTGTGACACAATATGTTGATTAATATTTGTATCTTTTTAAAGGGCTTTTTTTCCTGTTAATTGCAGCGCTAATGGATGCCCTGCAGGATCCTAATGCTCCAAGCCAGCTTTCAACCTAACACTCCATTAAGCCCCTGTCAAGCTGACTTGACGAGCAATCATTTAAAGCTCCTTTATATTGATTGACGCAATGCAGGGAGCAAGCACAGCTTTCATAGAAGCTGATACTTGAAACAAGGGGATTCCTGAAAAAGCCTATCCATGCTGAAAGCCACTGAAGGCAGTGTCTGTCAAGGGACAGCGAACTTGCTGACCCAAAGCTCACTGAATTCAAGAGTCTTTCAGTGGCCTTTGGGCATTAAAGCAGACCCATAGAGAATGAATGATAAAACCCTGGTAGTGCTTATTTCTAATGGAAGCAGTGACCAGCTCTGCACAGAAGTGGGAATTAGGATTTTGCTGTCATATCCGTGAGGATATGCTTGACCCTTCTAATCATTTTAGATTTTCCCTGCACAAGGCCATTTAGTCTTTTTGACCTAAAAGCTGGTGCAGTTAGATGGATTGGTCATAGCAGCAAATTCCCCATTGCTGGGCTATATTATCAAGTATATCAATGTTTTATTGATATAGGTTTGGCAATTGCTGGAAGATGACTCTCTCTTTTACTTAGATCTGCATTAACGAACCATTTGATGCAAAAGTAACTATGGAATTGTTTGAACTACAACCAACAAGCTCATTTTAAGAATGAGGGACTCATAGTCTAAAGCCACAGTTTTGCTATCCCTAACTTTTGGGGCAGGAGTAGTTTAAGGCAAGGCTGTTTAACTAGCTGCCTATGGGCTGCAATCAGTCTATGAGGGGTTAATGTCCAGCCCCAGGGCTCTCCATGCAAAAGCAGCTGGGGTCTCTGGGGCATAGTGAGCTCACTGCCCATGTGACAGCACCCGCTGGGAGGCTCACACTGCTTGTGTGGCTGTGGTGGGAGAATCATCTGCATGGTGGTGGCAGCAGAGGAAAGAAAGAAGGGGGTTTATTGGCAGTGGGGTGGGCACCTCCCCACATGGCAGTGGTAATAGGGATCCTGGTTTTCTCTGTTTAAAAATTGCAAATTCTCTGATTTAAAAAAATCACATTTTCTTGATTTAAAACCTCAAAATCGGTGATTAAAATGAAACATCGCTATATATGTGTATCAATTGAACACAATGTTTTATTGATATATTTTCAATTTTAAAGCAATTTGGAAGCCTACCAGTGCCTCAATCGCTGTAATAAAATAAATGTTAAATACTTATAAATTTTGGTATTTGATTTGGGGTTTTTTATCATGGGAAATTGGAGCTCTCCCTTCCCCCTTCACTCACCAGGACACAAGTCCAGGCCCCTCACTCCCAAGCCAAAGCCCCCACCACCCCTGTTTGTGCCTCTTATTCCCCACCCGCAGTCCTGCATCCCCTCCACAGCCCTGTAGGAGGGGCCCCAGCTGCCAGGGCTATGGGGCCAGGGACCTGGGCCTGCAGCCCCCAGCATCCCTGCCCCGCAGTGGCGCCTGAGCCCTGGCTACCTGCTGTGGGAGGTGGTGGTTGCTGTGGCAGAGCAGAGCATGGAGCCAAGCTCCCCCCTGCCATGGGCATGGCCAGAGTGAAGCCTGTGGGAGGGAGGGGGGATTCAGGCTGCCTGCTGTGGGCTTGGGCTCCCCACCTTGCTGCCCTCCCCTGGGGCCTCTGCAGTGCAGCCGGTGAGACCCAGCACAGCAAGGCAGTGGGACTGGGCAGGATAGCTCCTTGCTACTGCGAGCCCCATGCTGCCCTGGCAAGGTGCCCCCTGCCTGCCTGGCAGCAGCAGAGGTGGAGGCACAGAGTTGTGCCCCTCAGTGCTGCCAGGTGGGTAGGGGGTGCCTCGCCAGGGCAGAGCAGGGCTTCCAGTGGTGGGAACATGCTTCCCCACCTCGTCCTGCTCTGCCTTATTATGCCAGGTCTCACCCGCTGGGCCATGGAAGCACCGCGGGGAGGGCAGCAGGGTGGGGAGCCCAAGCTTGCTGTCACCCCATGTACAGATCTGGAGAGCACGTGCCCCACCTACTCCCCCCGGAAGTGCGCACAGTGGTGGGAAGCCAGCCCCCCTCCAGACGAGCCACCCACAGCTCCATCCTGCTCCCCGCCTGGGGAGCCCTGCAGCTGCACATGGCCCTGGGCCCCAAGCTCCTTGCACCACCTGGCTAGGCAGCAGCCCCAGCCCAACTCCCTCCTTCCCTATGGGGGCCTCCACGCCCCCCCCCCCTCCGA